TTCTCAATGCTATGTTCTACACTGACCAAGTCTTGACCTCCAAGTGAGATACTACTATCCAAAAACTGTCTGACACAACAGGAGCCTCGACCTGTGACCAAACTGAGGTACTAACTCTCAGGTAACACATGCAAAAAAACCCTTGAAAACAATCTGGATTCTCTCTGCTTTCATCCTTATTTTTTTATTAGGAAACACACCTGGGTATCTCTTTATTTGGAAGTAACTTACAATCTCATCTTGGGCAAAAATGCGACAAGGCAGCATTGCTGGACTTTAAAAAGGTTCAAGATAGTATCTCTCATTAAAAAATGCTAAACCAGAACTTCTTGGCAAAACAGACATAACAGACTTTTAGGTTCGATAAGCCCCTTTCATGGACTCTGCTGTAGGTGCCAAAATGACTCTTTAGGTTCTCCCTGCCTTTCCCCATCCCTGTTTTAATCTCAATTTACAAGCAAAGCCTTACTGTTGCAGAAACTAAAGAGCCTAGATCTTTCGTTTGTATCTGCATTAAGAGATGCTGACATCAGAGATAAGATTCCTCGTTGAAAATAGTTTCCCAGTAGTGCTGGTGTGATATTCCTATCCTTGCAGAGCTTTTGAATATCTGAAGTGTATAGTCCTTCTGACTATTAAGTACCAATGTCAATTGCTTTCAGAGTCAAATACAAATCCCTTCAAAAAAGGTAGAGATTGTGTATCACTCCTTATACAGCAGTGACAGGACTGCTGATATCCTGGCTGCACTTTGTCAGATGCTCTGGCGACCACAAATCAGAACATCTTTCTCAACTGTGAAGCCACTTATTTTCTGCTGTTTGTTTTGTGGGTATTGTGTTCTGCTCATTCCATGGTTCAACTGGATATGTAAAGAGAGACTATAAACATGTTCATATGAGGTGGTATTACTTCTGTCTTCCCTGTTAGCTGAAGTAGCTGGACAGGTTTGCAAGTTATAAACCTATGCAACAAAAAGCCACTTCATATCAATGGCAAATAACTGGCACAAAGAGTATGTCGTATCAATTAAGTTCACACATGTCCAAGGTAATGCAAAGAAATTTTTGACACTATTTGAATCAATGCACAAGGAACATTTGCCTGAACCTAACACTTCTTTGGCCAGCTATCTCAGCTACCCAGAGATCTGTCCTTCACATGCTTAGTCGTTTTTTTCCTACTGATTGCATTACATTTTCTGAGGTATCATTTAGATAACCAGACTGTTTCCTTGCATTCACATCAGGAGGCAAAACACACCTAACAGTTACCAGGCCTAAGGCATTTCACACTCATTCTATGAACTAGTCTATACTTCAAGAGCATAAAGAGAAGAGACACAGAAATTCTATCAGCTAAAGGACAATCACAGTCCTCTATCTGCATGTAATTTGGGAGGGAAACCCCTCAAGGAAAATTCAAAGAAAACATTTCAAATTACTAAAAAAGAATAGCTTATAGTTAAAATATGAAAATATAAGCCAAAAATATCTTTGTGGCCAAAAATACCCATAATACTAAGATTCCACTCTGAATACTGTGATTATCTAAAAAAGAAAAACCTGAAAAAACAAAATGAACTAAGATTCACTCTGAATACTGTGATTATCTGAAAAAGAAAAACCTGAAAAAACAAAATGCATGGGCACAAAGAAGTAATTAGAACATAAAAGATAATAAATCCCTTTCAGGTGTCAGGATATATGCCATTTGAGCTAGGATGAGGAAGGTTTAATGCCTATGGGCAAACGACTGTTTCTGTGACAACGTTCAGCCCTCCCTGCCCTCAGCCTGTTTGCTCAAGACCAGCAGGGGATGACATGCCACAGGCTCAGGAAGTCTGTAACCTTCTTATTTGTGTTACAGCTCTGCCACATTGTTTGATGGCAAAATTCCTGTTCTTCTTTAATGGCTGATATCACTCCACACCAGACTGAGCTGGACCACACTGCAGTGCTGCTGAACAGTAGAATCAATGTATAGTAAACTCAGAGTGAAAGAGTGAGCATAAAATCTCCTCTTACAATATTGTAATTAAATTCCATAAGAGCTAGCAACTTTAACACTACATTCTGGATGGGTTTTTCTTTCACCAATGAAATGAAAATCATACAGATAAACTGGTTCAATGTTAGGATTTTTGTGCCTTACTCTGTGGTGGTCACAGCCATTTATTTTTTTGTGACTTACTCTGTGGTGGTCACAGCCATTTATAATCGTTGGAGACTGAGAGGGCAAAATGTCAAAGTACTGAGACCAGCACATAATGCAGTGACAGCCAGGTGTCCTAACTTGAACTTAGATTTTGCTCTCTTTTCTGGCACTACAGGTCCCACTTTATAAATCTTGTAACAGTCCTGTAAATATTTGAGTACTACTGCAAGTTTATTTACCAAGTGCAGGTGCTCAGGTTGGTGGTTGGGCATGACCCTGTACAGGCATCTCAGGGAACACCAGGGCAAGAAAGGGCCAAAAACGTTCAGCAGAGAGATGAGGAGGGAACAAGAACAGAAACAGCAGAGGGAACACAAAGGTTGGAGGAGGAGAAGGTGCTCCATGCTGGAGCAGATGACTGTACTGCAGCTCACAGAGGACACGTGCTCAAACAGGTGATGTTCCTGAAGGAACTGCAGCCTGTGGAGACTGATGGAGCAGGATGAAATGTGAATTGTGAAGAGAAAGAGCAACAGAGAGAAATGTCTGTGTACCAACCAGCTTTCTCACCCTATTTTCCTCCCCTATCCTTCTGAGTTAGGCAAAGTGACTGAACAGCTGGGTGGGTGTCTGCCCATAGCCAAGGCTAACCCACCACAGAGTTCATCTGCCACAGTCAGTCAGGCACAAAAAAATTCTCACGGGGTTTGATGCATTTTTAGAAGAGAGATATTTGGTGATTTTAAACTCTTAAATTATGTGCAGGTGTATGTACACACAAGCACATCCACACTTACTACATGCCTTCTATAAGGGAATCCAAAATGTACCTCTTTAGAAAAAGAGGTGTGAAAAATCCCCACCAGCAAAAAAAATAGCCAAATAAATGCAAACCAAATCAACATTAGGATGACAAAGCTTGATTTCTGTTAACACTGATACTGTAGTGTGAAAACTCCGATATTGACACTTGTTTGCCTTGTAAATTTTAGACCTGTTCTTCTAGAAAGCAAGCATTTACAGTTATGGGTCAACAGATATGCTACCAAAATATAACATATGGTGTCACTGTGGTTAAAGATGCAAAACAATGCTTGTATTTTGACATGAAGGAAGAAATCCTTGGGAGAGCACAGGGGAAAGAAAAACATACTGCTCCTTCTGTTAGCTGCCTCTCATCCATCACCTTGCAGAGCTACATCCATGCTCGTGAAGGGGATAACACTGCACCAACTATGGTCATAACTTGCTGAAAGGCTTCTTAGCAGCATAGCTTCTGTATTAGAGAAGCTAAACTCATGAAGACATAGACTAAACAGTGTCTCTTCAAGTTACTTAGGTTAGAACATGACATCTGGCAAGTCAACAGAAATACAATAATAGGTCTCCATTTCTGAGAATTATCTGCAATACTTATACAACATAGGCAAAATGTCATTGAAAGTAGGTGTTACATATTATTCAAGTGGCACAACTCCTCAACTCTGACTTGGGATATTTGCTTAGCCAAACCTTTGAATGTAGAAAAATATGTTTGTACTCCTTCTAAGAAATACTACAAACAGAAGCCCCAAGAGAGTGGATGTCCCAGCACTTCCTGGCACTATTTCATTAGCACCACTTTTTCCTACAGGTAAAAGACTGCCTTTTCCTTGAAGGATTTTTCTTTTTTATATTTGCTTATTCAAGAGCAGCACTCTGATTTCACCATTTCACTCTTATGTCATTAACAAACAGCTATCAAGTATGACATTACGTGAGAACTAATTCTTGCTATTAAGTAATAGCAATACCTCTAAGACCTCACTCCAATGATTAAAAATATTTCAAAATATTGTTGCATAATATTTCAGATTAATTTCTGAGCAGTGGCAGCATCCCTAACTTATTGGAAAGACAACTGAAACATGCATATTTTCATACAAACACATCCCGATTAATTACAACCTTCACAACAGAAGAGGAAGAAATTATAAAATCCTACTTCCTCCATTTCTTTAACTACCTTTTCTTACTATTTTACTGCATAGTGATGTAATTGTCTTTCCCATGTGCAAGCTTTGCTTTTTTAAAAAGATCTTTCAGTTTTCTCCATGGGAGCTTGTGGGAAGACAGAGAAGTGCGGATTGGCAAGTATACAGATTGCTTTATTCTAGATTACATGCCAAATTCAGATTACATTCACTTTCTCACAAATGCTGAAAATCACTGTTCTAGATGGACCTATATACTGGATCTATTTGAGAATAATTGAAAGGAGGACAACAATACCTGTAAATTACATTATGAAGTGCTGAAAGGTTTGCCCAAGTCCTGAGTTAAATTCAATTCTCACATTCAGCATAATATTGTGCACATTTAATAGGTATTACAGTAACACCTGGACCACACAATGGCAAAGTTTGAAATTAATACTTAACATCTTTATATTTCAAACTAAGTTGTTATGGTGAAATGTTCTCTAAACTCAGAAAATGGTGTATATAATAAAACAAATACATAGTCCCCCAAATTAAAGCACTCATGAGTCACCTCCTGTAAGCCTGATAGCAAAAGATTTTGAAAGGCAATCAATCAAACAACACTGAAAACCTCTCAGATAAACCAGCTTCATGGGGGAGAGTACCAGTGAAGATCATAGCAATTGCTTTTTCTGGTTTTCAGACAAATGAAAATATCTCACAGAAAATTAAAACAGACAAAACAATGTCCACAGCAGCCTGAGTGTGCAAAGCCTTTCTCTTTAACTGGTACTCTGCAAAGGCAGAGTGCCCTGGCAAAATCAGAACATGTTATTTAAAAGAAACCATCAGCTAATGGATTACACTTCCCCGAATACCTACCAAAAGTTGTCCAGCAAAACAGATAAACAAAATGAAGGAAAGCAAGAGAAATGCAGCCCCAAATGAAATTCCAAGAATAGATGTTCTAGAAGAAAAAGAAAACATGTATTAATTTCTTTGTTGTACATTCGTATCATGACCTTTCTTTGTCTGTAATACTGATGATATGAAAAATCACTATGTGCAAGCTGAAACTTCTAAACATCAACACCATGGAAAAACAATTGCTGCTGCTAATGTACTCTGTAATTTAAATTATATGTGTGGAAATTAGTATCTTCTCATGGCAATAGCTTTGCAAAGTCAGAAGTAATACCAATTCAAGCATTCCTAAGCTCAGAAAATGGCAGGGGAAAGGCCTGTCATTATGGGAATAATTAGAATTGTTATGTAGTAAACAGCATGGGACAGTGATGTCCAGTTTTCAGTGTCTCTCAGCTAGAACCTGTGATACCTGTGACACTGCAGTCTCTCAGTCAGCAAGGGACCTAACCTAGTGACTACTATTTCATGATTCAACACCTCTGAAAACTTCATTTTGTATCAAATTTGACTAGCTGGCCAGACTGATTCTGAAGCATTAGAGAACAAAGTAGGAAGGAAAAGTAAACGTTATGAAGAAAGGATAAAATAAGAGAACCAAAAGAAAAAAGAAAAAGAAAAAAGTGTATACTCTTCCTGAAATTATCCTTACTCAGTGTTCTAGCTCATCCTTTTCTTGTAAGTTATAAATAGACAGGTCTAGCCAAAATAGCATCCCTGGATACTCAGTAAACAGCAAGAGGGATACATTAACAATCTGTGCACTCATTCATTCCGCAAATGTGGAAATCTCTCTATGTGAATACCAGAGTAGAGCATAATTGCTCTGTTGGGCACCATCTGAGAGCTCCTTAGCATGGCT